TAAGAGGGGGTCCGCGTTGGAAAGGTTTGAGTGGAATATCACGTACACGTCTGTTATTTTTGCACCACCTTTCCCTTGGCTCTTTGTAACATCCTCCGTCTTTCCGTGTCTAGGCAAAATGAAGGACTCCTAATGTTGCTGTACTGAGGCAGGCGGTAGTACTGCTCTCCTGAGCGGTACTACCGCATGGCCGTGTGGTAGTACCGGCATCCAGCATGGTAGTACCGTGAGTGCTCACGGTAGTACCGCTCCTTCGGAGCGGTAGTACCGTGGCCTCGGTACAGGCGCTGCTGCCCGAGCGGTAGTAGGGGCGGATGTAATTTTTTACATCCGCGCCCTACGTGGTAGTACCGCGCCTTGGGCACGGTAGTACCGTGAGCTCTGGCTAGGCATAGCAGCATGAGCGGAAGTAGGGGCAGATGTAATTTTTTACATTCGCGCCCTACACGGTAGTACCGCGCCAGGCTTGCAGTAGTACCGTGTCGGATTTTTGCATGGACCTAAACTCAGCGGAAGTAGTCATGGATGTAATTTTTTATGTCCGTGCCTTCTCAGCCTTGACTATCCCTACCTTGCTGTAGTGCCGCAAGGGGGCGCGGTAGTACCGCGCCAGCGGTTCTACCGCTCCCTGTCTTAGCACATCAGGTCTAGTCCTGGCCCCTGCTGTGCCAGCGGTAGTACCGCGGTCCGCCGCGGTAGTACCGCAGGCCCGTGTGGTAGTACCGCTTGTCGTGGGCTGAGTTGGTGGATAACGGTTGGATTTGTTCTTCCACTATAAAAGGGGTGTCTTCTTCTCCGAGTTGACTACCTCTTCCTTCTCTAAGCTCCATTGATGCTCTAAGCTCCATTTTCGCCCGATCTCTCTCCCTAGCCAATCAAACTTGTTGATTCTCTAGGGATTGGTTGAGAAGGCCTCGATCTACACTTCCACCAAGAGAAATTTGATTTCCCCCACTAATCCCTTGCGGATCTTATTACTCTTGGGTGTTTGAGCACCCTAGACGGTTGAGGTCACCGCGGAGCCATAGTCCATTGTGGTGAAGCTTCGTGGTGTCGTTGGGAGCCTCCAATTAAGTTGTGGAGATTGCCCCAACCTTGTTTGTAAAGGTTCGGTCGCCGCCTCCAAGGGCACCAATAGTGGAATCACGACATCTTTGTGTGAGGGCATGAGGAGAATACGGTGGACCTAGTGGCTTCTTGGGGAGCATTGTGCCTCCACACTGCTCCAATGGAGACATATTTCCCCTCAAAGGGAAGGAACTTCGATAATACACATCCTCATCTCCATCGGTTCCACTCTTGGTTATCTCTTACCTTTACTTGTGAAAGTTATATTGTGTTATATCCCTTGCTTGCTTGTGTGCTTATTATTGTTGCATCATATAGGTTGCTCACCTAGTTGCATATCTAGACAACCTACTTTGATGCTAGTTTAATTTGGTAAAGAAAAACTAAAAATTGCTAGTTGCCTATTCACCCCCCTCTAGTCAACTATATCAATCCTTTCATCTGTTATGCTTATGCCTGAGTACTTATTCCGCTGCTAGTGTGTCGTTACTTAGGAATTTCTTCACCTAGAAATTCCTCAGTGACGAATTTGTAAAAATTGCCTATTCACCCCCCCTCTAGTCGATATAACGCACTTTCAGCAAAAATAATAGAGAAGGTGGCAAGTGAAGCCTACAAGGCGTCGCAGGGATGGAGGCCTAGCGTGAGAAGGCTGGGGGCTGTTGGAGATTAGCTGTAGTGGCAGTAGCATATAGTAGCTCCTGAGTTCTTTTGTTGTTATGGCTTGTTCATCCTTGTTGGCAGCTTCTGCTTATGGTTATTTCCGTTTACTTTTGTTGGCTTCAGAACCTTGTTTGGCTGGAGATGTTTTAGGCGTCTCAGTCCCGTTGTGAACTACTACTTTGGCGTTGATTTCGTTAATGAAATCGGAGGGAAACCCCCTCTTTTAATAAAAAAAAACTACACGTCGATTCTTGCTGAATTTCGCCGTCCCAACAACACATTCTCGTCACTCCGAAAGCCCACCACCACTCTTGTCGTCGTCGTCGATTGGGGTGCCGCCGTTGCCTGATTTGCAGCAAATCCGGCTATTCTTTGCCCCTTTGCCGTCTGATATGGCCACCACAGCACCGAGCCTCACAATGAAGGTTGATTAGTTCCGCTCGGTACCCCACCGAAGCTCTCGGCTGTCAATGAATGAGGCAACGATGGCTTTGGATACAATCCCCGACGCCAGCAAGAACACGCCCGGTCCATTCACAAATGGCCCGATGCCTCATTGGCCATAACGAGCCATGCCATCCCGGAATTGACCTTCATGCCCACTAGGTGTTCGACGAAAGCCTCCAAGGTAAAAGAAATCATTTTTCATTTTTTCTTGCGATATAGGAGTGGAATGTGATGCGAATATTTGTTTTAATGTAGATGAGTTTGTTTAAGTCGTCTTCGTGAGATGATTCCTCCTCCAGAGAGGAATATGAGAGAAATGAAGAGGAGCACATTGCTTGATCATGATGGTGCACATGGACAACAACAAGGGGCCGAAGCATGGTGGTTCTGTTGTCGACCGTGAGGTGATCCGTAGGAGGAAATAAGATGGGCACCATAGACTGATGATCAATTATTTCGGCCCAAATCCAATGCATCAAGAGAGATACTTCCGACACCGGTTCGGGAAGGCTCCGGATTTGTAAATGTGTGAAGCGGCATGGTCGATTCTTCGAGCAGAGGAGGAATTGCGTCGGAGATCTTGTACATAGCACTATCCAGAAGATGACTACGGCATGACAAATTATGGCATATTGGTATTCCTACATATTTGATTGATGACCAATTGGCAATGGGAGAGAGCACTTCCATCAAGTGTATGAAGCAATTTGTAAAGACCGTGGTTGAAGTGTTGAGCCAGAGTATTTGAGAGCACCCGATGCTCAGCACACTCAGAGACTTTTGGAGATGAACAAAGTGTGTGGGTTTGCATGTATGCTCAGCTCAATTGATTGCATATGCACTGAAAGTGAAAGAACTACTCCACGGCATGGAATTGACAATTCAAAGGACATGTGAAGAATGGCGCCATCATCCTTGAAGTCGTGGCCGATCAGAAGACATGATTTTGACATGCACAACTTGCGACTGCTCAACACCTCTCTCCGAGCACGATGGCCATGGTTGGCAAGGACGGATATGGACAGACCATGGACAAAATTCAACATTCAGGTCTCATCGGACTCGATGGCTATATACAAGGCAGCCACCAAATGCACCATTGGGAACGGTGAATCCACTCTATTCTGGACGGATTGGTGGTTGCAAGAGGGACGCATACAGGATATCATGCCACACCTGTTCAAAGCTGCAAAGAGAAGTGCGATCAAGGTGAGAACCGTGGGACAGGCGGTCGCGAGAGGTTGGTGGCAGGACGTGTCGCCAAATATGGGCGTGGAGGCAATTCAGGAGTTTCTCACTCTGGTGGACCGAATGCAACTTGTCCAGGTGGAGGTGGAGATACAGGACAACATCACTGGATATGGGGCTCAAATGGGCTATTCTCGGCGCGCTCTGCCTATCGCGCACACTTTGCCGGACGGATTGAAGCTGCCGGTGCTGTACAAATGTGGAAGTCGCGGGCTCCGAACACATGCAAGATCTTCTTGTGGCTCGCTGGTAGGAGGAGATGCTGGACGGCTGACAGGCTGCAGAGGCATTTGATGCCGCACCCGCCGGCCTGTCCACTATGCGACCAGGAACTAGAGACGATTGACCACTTACTACTTGGATGCGTGTTTGCGAGACAGGTCTGGTCGGACATCACAGGCAATTGGGGAAAACCCCAATGGACCCCTGCCCACGGAGCGAAGCTTGTTCAATGGTGGTCTTCTTTAAACGCCGAGACGAGGATGAGGAAGGAAGCTTGGACGGTGATCACGTTGGTGGCATGGACAATTTGGAAACACAAAAACGACGTCGTGTTCAACGGCGCTCTACCTTCCGTCAACAAGGTGCTCGAGACGATCGACGCGGAAGGGGAGAGCTGGAGGGCTGCATCTCTGCTACGGTAGCCAAGATCGCTCCCAGTTAGGGTAGAAAGGGTGGAGAGTAGCGAGTAATTAGCATTAGATGTGTGTTGGCCCTTGCGGCCATGGACTCTTTGTAATTGGTTGTTTCGCCATCTTGGCGCCTTCTAGCTATGATCTCGATACATCAACTTTGACGTATCCTTGAAAAAAAATGATTTTGACATGCATATTTTAGTATGCCTAAATCTTGCAAACGACATCCATGTGCTTCGGCGATCCCCACTCTTTGCACGGTTTTAGTTGTACCTGCACAATCGATCCCACGCCAACAGTGTTGAATCAACTCATTAGGTCTTAAGCCGGCGTCGTTTGGCTTGTCGTGTGCCTGACAAGTCTAGTTTTCGCTGATTCCTTTTGACATTTGCACAGTTGCTCTCTGAAATTCAACAGAGTAGGCAAACCGTACGCATCTCACGACGCATGGTTAGGTCGGGTGTTTAGCAACTTTGCGTAGTACGCTGCTTAATCTGGATCAAAGAGAACTATCTGAGAAAGACATGACTTGGTTTTTCTTCGCTTGTTTGCAATCCCACATGACACACCCAGCCAGTTGAGATTTCTTTAATATCCTGCACACGAATGTCACCTGGCAGCGCACGACATGTGAATGAATGAAGGATACCGTACCCTTTCACATGGCAACAAGCCTCCGTGAGGCACAGACAGCTGTATATTCTATATTCAAGTAAAGTATTTCTTACACACTCATATTCACCACTGTTCAGCATCACGGCAATGTACAATTTCCATTTTATCTGTATACCACAGCAGATGCACGATTCAAAGTTTCTATCGGTCAAAACACTTTTTATTCTACGTGCACTGCATCTGACAAATGCAGATGCACCAGAACTAACATGGCACCCATTCTATCGTGCAGTGAGCAGCAGAAGCACAGCAGCACGAAGAAACCTATCTGTTCACATCATCGCTCACTCCGTAGCTCGGATTGCTTGCGAAACTGAGCCCAGCGAACCAGGCAACGCGCATCAACTGAATCCCAAGGACCAGCACCCACCAGGACACCAAGCCACGAAGGCTCTGCACCATCCACCCGGGCGCAGCGATCTCGCCGGCCAGCTGGAGGCCCCTCATCAGCTGCAGCACCCGATAGCCCTCGTAAACGACGGGGGCCACCAACCAGACAGGCGATTTCCAGTGCCATGTAAGCGTCTCGGTCAGCATCTGCACTGAAAGTAGTAACAGGTATGGCCCAAGCAGCACCAAGAACGGAATGAATGGTAGATGCGGCTGCAGAGCTCCCTGATGAGACGCGAAAAGCAGGGCCAGAGGAGCAACGAAGCCTAGTACGCTGGCGATTAGATTCCACATTCTGTAAGAAGTTGGGATCTGCCTTGTCAGGTCGAACGAATTGTTCTCTGGACGCCCGCACGCGTCGGCCATAAGGAAGAACAGCATTGCTCCCATGTTAAAGATGCAGTCGAGTCCCACTAGGGATAGAAGGCCAGCGATGTTAGGGCCAAGGAACACTGAAGGCAATGGCAGCCACAGAGTTGGAACTATACCGGTGACCAACAGAACTGAAGGCCCTAACAGCCACATTGGCAGCTTAAATGTTGCTAGCTGCTTAGAAGGTTCATTCTTCACGTCCACAACATCCTGGTCACTCTGGAGGATTGGAATCTCTGGAGCTTCTTCTGTATCAATAGCTTCAACAATATTTGTTCCCATGATGATGCTGGCATCATCCTCTGCGGAAGCATACGGAAGAGAGGCCTCCCAAGGCAAATTCTCAGTGCATCGCAATGCAGTGTTTTTAAAGTGGCCCAACTGCAAGGGGCTACAATGAAGAGAGTTGGGCAATCTCGTAAGTCTATTCTCATGAACCTGCCTCCTAACATATACTTTGTTTAGTTTTATCTGTGAACAGAGCAAAGAAGCCATGGTACAGAATGCGAAATTCCAACACTGCAAAATAATTAAAGAAGTGAAACAAATTAGTGCCTCCAATGTCTGGACCATGGAGAGGTCAGGTATCTAGCAGTTAAGATAAACTCAAATATTCAATGATGTCACAACGACGAATTGCAGAATCCACAGGCAGATCAAATATTCAATGATGTACAGAAAACCATGATTGCAGTTACTTTTGAGATAATTCTTATTTAACAGATTTATGAGTAAGGAACTCCAGCTTCAGCACTTCTGGTTGTTTTTGAGTAATAGTTAACTTGTAACTGGAAGCATACTTTTGACTTCTGAGATAGGAAATATGGTAAAAAATGCAACCAAAAAATGGACTCAGCTGCACCTCATTAAAGACAAGTTGCTATCAAACCTAAAGTTTAACAAGAGTCAAGTAGGCTAACTACATGCCTCTACAGTTCCAGGTACAAGACTGAAGCCAAAAGATAAATACTCCTCCGTTCCTAAATATAAGACCTTTTAGAGATTTTCATATGGACTACATACAGAGCAAAATGAGTGAATCTACACTCTAAAATATGTCCATATACGTATGTAGTCTATATTGGAATCTCCAAAAGGTCTTATATTTAGGAACGGAGGGAGTACCTAAGCACTTAGGAATAAACTTAAAACTTGCAATAATTATATAGCATGCGTGAGATTTAAGTAGTGAATACAACAAAAAATCATGAATGAGTTACAACCCTGGACATATAAACTCCCCCGCTTAAATTACATGAAAGTCAAGACCTACTTAGGCCTGAATTCAACAATTCAGGAGATATGGAGATGCTACTTTACACACAGACCTAAAGTCCGATCTCTTCAGTGCGGACACAATCTGTCAAAGGGTTACTGAGGTTCCCAAGCTATTTAACACATCTGTGCAGTAAGTGTGTGTCCTTTTGCACAACTTTGAATAAACTCTGTAGTAACAGATTTGTAAAAAGCTCTGTACTCACAGAACCAAAATGGAAAACCAACCAAAATACCCATATCGGTTGACTACATAGTATGCACATTTAGCTATGCCTGATGGCGAAACCTACAACCTATAAACATGTTAGGATGTATTTGTTCTTCTTTTTTTGGCTAGTACTCAACAGGTCGCCAGTAACCACTAAAAAACATGATCCTTCAGCAACCGAACCTCACATATCATAAGAGTATACAGCTACGAAGTAACTCAAACCATCCCCCGCGTCTCCCTTCTCAGATTTAGTGATAAACGCAGGCGCCAGAACCACCGAGAGCATTTCTAAACATTCCCAAACCCTCGAATCCTATCAGATCCGCAGATTTCGCACTAGCGCTGTTACCTGCTGCGACCTTCTGTTCGGGCCTGGTTCTTAAGCAACGTATAGATGGAACAGAGGGGAGGCTAACCTGATTTGATTCCCCTGGGCTTCTCGCCGGCCGGAGCTCCTCGGAGGTGAGGAAACCACCGAGCAGTTCTTCTCCGAAACGGCGGACCCACGGTCGCGGCTCTGCTCCGCTCAGTAACCTGGGCGAAGAAGAGGGTGGAACTGGAGGGGCAACCCGGCCCAATACGCAACTATAAGCACCGTGGGCCTATGCTGGACAGCTGGAGCAGTAACTATTTGCTGGACCCTGTGAAAAACTTGCTGGACAGCTGGAGCAGTAACTAAGGGTTTCTCTCCCCTAAGGCGGCGACCTAGGGTTTCGACGTACGCCGGTGCTTGCAGCCGGCTGTTCTCCCTCCCCTACGGGGGTTTCTCTTGCCAGGTTTCTCCTCGGGCTCGGGGCAGGTTTCTGCTGCGACTCCGCCTGGCTAGTTGCGCGACGAGGAGACAGTTTGGATCTCCGATGGCGGCGGAAACAAGTACTCAGGGAAGGCAGGGGAAGGAGACGACGGAGGAACTTCTTGCAAGACTGAATCTGCATGAGGAGGAGGATGATGCTTTTGTGTGGGAAGAGGAACTGCCGGATCTGGAAGAGCCGGCGAAGTGGCTGGCTATTGCCAGAGTTCATACTACAAGATCTTTCAGCCCTAATGCTCTATATGGGGACATGCGTGCTGCGTGGAACCCGGCGAAATTGGTTGTTTGGAGGAAGCTAAAGGAAAACTTATTTACGGCCCAGTTTGGATGTTTGGGGGATTGGAACAAAGCTATGAATGAGGGGTCGTGGCTGTTTAGAGATCAAGCAGTCATCATGGCCGAGTACGATGGTTTCAAAAACCTTGACGGTATCAAGCTGGACAGGCTGGCGGTGTGGGCTCAAATTCATCGGCTTCCTGACAAATTCCTGATAGAACCAGCTGTTAGAGGGATGGCATCACGTATTGGGGAAGTGGAGGAAGTGCAACTGAAGTTACCGGCAGGGTTCTTTGGTGAGTTTGTCAGAGTCAGGGTAAAGATAGACATTAATGCAAAAATTAGAAGGTTCGTAACTGCAAGAAAGGGAGATGAGGTGGTAAGATACCAAGTTAAGTATGAGAAACTTCCGATGTTCTACAATAACTGTGGCGAATGTGGTCATTGGCACGAGGAGTGCGGGGATGGAGTTCACGATCCAATGAAGTTTGAATGGGGAGATTTTGTACTGGCTGATGGGGTACGTTTCAGGCAATCTGGAAGAGGTGGCTATGGTTTTCAGAGAGGACGAGGTGGCCCAAGGCCTGAGAGAGGAAGAGGCCGGGGAAGAGAGCAATATAATCCAAATCAAAGCTGGCGTTTCAATGCACAACAGAATGAACCTCGCAGACATGATGGGGGGGCGGCCTCAGAGCCAGCTCCAGGTGATACAAATACGGCAGAGCCAAGCGATAAAGCTGAGCAATCGGGAAACAGGGTGCTGGGGGCACCGACGGGAAACAATAAATGGCAGTCTACCGAAAGCGGTTCGCTAATGGTAGGCATGCAAACCACAAGAGTGGAAGAGGTGGTAAAATCCTCAGTCCTTGTGGTGAAAGAGAAGCCCACGGGTGTGCCTCCGATGCCACCCGTTTATGTTTCTCCGAGTAAGGAAGTGAAGAGGCCCAAGAAGGGAGACGGCAATAAAAGGGCTTTGTTTCAGCATTCAGCTACCACAGAGGTGGGGACAAGCAAGGAGGCAGGAGGAGAGGAGGAAAATTTCGATGACAATACAGTTTTGGCGGGCTCCTTCGAGGAGCGTTGCCAGTCCCAATGAGTGTTCTATGTTGGAACTGTCGTGGTGTGGGTAATCCCATGACAGTCCATGAACTTCGTGCTCTCGCGAAGAAGTTTACCCCGACCGTACTTTGTATAGTTGAAACTCAGATTGATAGGGTACATGTTGAAAATTTAAAAGGAGAGTTAGGATATAATAAAAGATATGTTGTTTCGAGTGATGGTAGAAGTGGAGGTCTAGGGATGTTTTGGAATGATGAAATAAATTTGCAAGTTCTGGGCTACTCAAAATATCATAGAGATGCAACGGTGAACAATGTAGGGGCAATTCCATGGAGGCTAACATGCATATATGGAGAGGCACGGGTGCAGGAACGATGCAAGACTTGGGATAAAATGAGGGAACTAGTGGGGCAATCCGATGCACCGTGGGTTCTCATTGGTGATTTTAATGAGGTATTGCAGGCGAATGAACATGATGGGATTGGAAGGAGAAGCCAAAAGCAGGTTGACCTATTCAGGGCAGCTGTTGATGATTGTGCTTTGATGGATTTAGGTTACACTGGTATTAATTGGACGTTCGAAAAGAAAGTAACAGGAGGTTCTTTCACCAGGGTTAGACTGGACAGAGCGCTTGCATGCGCTGCATGGCGAAGCGCTTTTCCCGAGGCTATAGTTCAACACGTCAACGCTGTGGCGTCGGATCACAATCCAATTTTCCTTAGTCTGCATGCACCTACTGATGACCCAATCATTGCGCGCACTTTCAAGTACGAGTGCATGTGGGAGACACACACACAGTTGCCGGAGGTGGTGAGAGAAGCGTGGATAGCGACAGCTGAAGGTGACAGGGGAGATTTGGTGATGGGGCTATCGAATAAACTAAACCTACTGTGTGGATCTCTGCAGGCCTGGGATCGCACAACCTTTGGCAGCGTTCGGAGAGGAATAAAAAAACTAAAACGGGAGCTAGATATCCTGAGATCGATTCCAAGCAGGGTGGAACCATCCGAACGTGAGAAGGAGATAAAAAGCGAGCTGCTGGAACTTTACAAGAGGGAGGAGTTGATGTGGAAACAAAGAGCTCGTTTGGAGTGGCTCAGATCCGGCGATAAAAACTCAAAATATTTTCACATGCGGGCAAACCTGAGGCGGGTTAAAAACAGGATAAAAGCGTTGATGAAACTAGACGGGAGCAGAATAGAAGATAAACAGGAGATGAAGGAGATGACTGAGGATTTCTACAAAGCTCTATACACTTCTAAGGGTACAGAGAATATGCAAGAGGTTATCAATGCAGTTCCGCGCAAAGTGACACGCCAAATGAATGAGGTCCTGAACGCTCCCTACAAAGTCGAGGAAGTAAAAACTGCGCTGTTTCAAATGTCACCTCAGAAGGCCCCCGGACCGGATGGTTTTCCCGCACAATTTTTTCAGAAACATTGGGAGATTTTCTCTGAGAAGGTGACTAAAGTTGTCCTTAGAATTGTGGAAGGTGTGGAAAGTGCCCGTGAGATCAACAACACGGTCTTGGTGCTCATACCCAAGGTAAAAAATCCCACGCTTCTTACACAGTTCCGCCCCATCAGCTTATGCAATGTGTTGTACAAAATAGCATCCAAAGTTATTGCTAATCGTTTGAAGAGTGTGTTGCCAGACATAATCTCTGAGGAGCAATCAACGTTTGTGCCAGGCCGTCTTATAACCGATAACATAATCGCGGCTTATGAGTGTTTACATTTCATGAAGCGGAATAAGGCACAAAAAAACATGCATTGTGCACTAAAGCTTGATATGATGAAGGCCTATGACAGGGTGGAATTGAATTATTTGAAGGAAATCATGTTAAAGTTGGGATTCACGAGCAGATGGGTGAATATTGTCATGGGTATGGTCACCTCAGTTTCGTTCTCAGTTCTTTTTAATGGGGAGAAGTTAGAA